CCTATTTATCTTGGTTTATTATGACAGACCTTTTCATATGACGTAAACGTAAAAACTAATTGGGATGGCTAAGTGGAAGCGAAAAAGCCTACAGTTTGTCACAACCACTGCCCTATCCTGCATTGAAAATGCGCCAATTAGGTAGCCTACCCACCTTAAGTTGTAAAACAGGATATCATTTTAACAATTAATTGGTACATGGCAAGATTAATTGAGTGGTCCTTGAGGCTCATTCCAATAGGACAGTATTTAGTTGCTCGTAATTTCGAGTGAAAGCGAGATATAAGAGACTCACACAAGTCGAACTCACCAGAAAACAGCTGCGAATTATGCTTGCAGGAAACTTTTGGGTCCCAGTTGGGTTGCGGTGAAAATGGGCAAAGCTCACATAAGACATGTCGATTGGCAGACCTTATTATTTCCAAATCAACTTAAGGCGCGAATTAGATAAAGCGAGAAATAAAAATCATTCTCTCCTTCTAATATAGACCTTGCACAAAAATTAGTTTTTAGTTTTTTACGAAGACTCGATTAAATCCCATTCATGTGCACAAAAGCACATATGAAAATGTTTTTGTGTATTTGTCTGATTACGATAAGTAAAGCACCGTCCGAATAAAAAGCTTTTTAATGAACCTCTAAATATTTAGCTTAAAGCATCACATAAATATAATTCAATAATTGTAATAGAAAAAAAAATTATTAAGCCTTAGCGACGAACTTTTATTCCCCATGTTCACACAAATGTATGTACACGTGGATGAACATATGAATAAAGTGAAATATTTATGCAAGTGTGCTGATCTCGCTTTCACACATTTGTCATGTAGTCAGAGAAACTTGTTGTGACGACTTTTATTTCGTATGGAAGTACATGATGAAGGGATTCGTAGGTCACTCTAACCAGAAAACGTCGACTGATTCGCGCTGTACTGCAGCCGTTAGGCTTTAATATCACCTTCACGTTAATAACGTACACGAGACATACTCCAACTTCTCTGGCGAAAACGGACTGAATTTTCGTTCTTCACGCTACATGACGAACATCGTCAGAGGTGGGACTCATTCTTGTAAAGGCTTCAAGTTAACGCTAACTCAAGAATAATAACCGGCTTTTTTCTATATGATATAAATACTCATTGGGAGAAAAATGTATGCTATAGATAAACACAGAAAGCTGTGGTTAATTTAAGTATACTCAAGTGTCTGTGTGTGTATATGTGTGTTAACGTCTCTACGTAAACTCTGCCATAACCCAAAAGTAATTAGAAAAAGATTTAAAGTCTCCCTCAGGTCATCAAGGCTTAGTGATCATATCAAAAAAGGATAACCGAGATTGCGTTAGTCCGTAAGTGACGCTGGCTTAATTGATGAAACGTGAGTTTGTATGCGTGAAGGTCAAGTTACCAAACCACAAGTTAGAACCCGTTAGTTTGGGTTATTTAGGTTTAATGAGCCAAGGAGCAGCATGGCTGACATTGTGCAGACTTGCACACCTATTTTCTTTGATGAGCTTTACATGTCTGTTGAATGAGTGTTAATTTACTTGGAAACATGACTCAACTGGCAACTCGAGTCGTCTTCTTTTGGACGGCAAACATAAGACATTTTTGCTTGACTTTCTACCAACACTCTTCACATTCAACCAGTTCGCTAATCTATTTATTTCAATTTAAGTAGTGTTTCGAGACTATCAGTAAATCAGTAATATGATACGTATTCACACAATTTCGTTTAAGGTGATGAAGCACTGGTAGTAGAATTTTCCCACAACTATATGAGTAGAGCTGACGTTTCCATTGAATTTCACAGAGACTTGATTTCCCAAAAGTTGTTCTCATCCCGGGTGGACTGCAGTTTCGACCTAGTATCGGTCTTAACAACACCCCCAACGGGACTCGAACTTGGATGAGAACGACTTTTGGGAGAGCAAGGCTATGTGAAATTCATTGGAAATGTCAGCTCTACTCATAGCACTGTGGGAAAATTCTTCTACCAGACTTTCATCACCTTAAACGAAATTGGCTGAATACATCTCATATTATTAATTTCAACTCCAGTTTTAGGAGCCATTCAGGCTCTAACGCTTACTCTTGAAAAGCATTTAGAGATTACGGATGGAAGTATGTTGAGTGTAGACTCCATCCTAGGACTACTTATCCTACCCATGACGGTAAGTTTTATAAACAGACGCAAGCAGTTCTAATGGGTTCCTGCTTATTCGCGATTTGGAGAATAAATGCATGGCTAAGTCTGAGGAACGCTTGATGCAAAAGAAAATTTTGATGAATAAATTGTTTTAAAGGAAATGTCAGGTCTACGCATATCATTGTGGGTAAATTGGGTGAATACATCTCATACTACTCATTTACTTAACCAGCGTGAAATGGATATTAATCTGACAATGGAATAAGAAGAAAATGGGAAATTTACTCAAATGGATTTTCTAATTCTTGGGGAAGATGTTAAATTTGTTCTTAATTTTATTTCTACTCATCATCTTAACAGTAGGTATATGCGAATTAAACTTGGGTTTCGAGGAATCTCTTGTTTCATAATTGTTGAGCCTACTTCCATTTTGACTGAAAGTGTTTGGTGAAGAGATAAGCAGGTCGATCCATCCAGAAGACAACCGTCGGCGGACTCCTCTTGACCAGCTGTCGATTGGCTTAACTACAATATTCTTGTTACCGCTGTTTCCGAGGAAATGTCATTCAATTCCTGTGAAAATGTTCCAAGCTTTCGTCCGTCGTATGACGAACATCATCAGAGCAGGCTCATCTATAAAAAGCTGTATATATGCTTGTTGTGTCCCGAAGAAGGACATGGACTGTATCTAAATTATAAAATGCTCGGCCCCGAAACCCAGAGAGAAAAGGAACAAATAATATTACCAATTGTCCCATCTTGAAACGGCCGAATATCGTATGGGGGAGTGGACAATAGAAAGACGATCATTGAAAGATGGCGCAAAATGGAACATTCTAAACCCAGCGAGAAACGACTGAGTGAAGAAAGCGAATGAAAAGTACATGACCGAATTCATGTCAACTTCTGATTGGACGATGTTGTGCCAAGCTTTGATTGGGCACAGGATGTTGAGCAGTGGGTACGTGTTGGATTTACCAAAACTAAACATTGAATGGGAAGAGTGTGGGGATAGATTAATGCATACTCTATATCTGAATTCTTTGATGATATAAAACATGCGAGTGTGTCTGTTTCTGTATGTGTATGTGTCTGCATATGTACGTATGTGTACGAAATCAGCATTTATGTTTGAAAGTAATTAGGGTAGCAAAATTAACTTCCTCTCTTGGCCATCAAGATTTGATAACCTTCATCGTTATGGCCACGTGTTCAGAGATTCGCTGATCATTTTATGTCTGCTACGAAAGTCAGGATAAGAGAGTCTATTGAAATTAATAGATTAGGGAATAAGTTGAATGAGAGAAAGGGTGATAGAAAGTTTTGTTGAGCTTACTTCGATTTCGAGTGAAGGTGTTGAGTTAAGAGATTCGAAAGTCGGTTCCACCAGAAGATGACGGCTTATTCCTTTTGACCAGTTGTCGATTGGCTTTACTGGAACATTCATGCCGACGCTGTTTCCGAGGCAATCTCCTTCGATTCCGGAGTTTTCTTGACTCGGTAGCTTCAATTTTGTTGTGACGATGTTATCTCGCTTTGATGATGTCCGTCACACGACGGACGAAAGCTTAGCACCATTTCACCGGAATCGAAGCAGATAACCCCGGAAACAGCGTCAGCATGAATGTTCGAGTCAAGAGGAATCGGCCGTCGTCTTCTGGTGGAACCGACCTTCGAATCTCTCTTCAGGCAACACTTTCACTTGAAATGGAAGTAAGCTCAAAAATTATGAAACAAGAGATTGCTCAAAACCCAACTTTTCTTCGTAGATAGAAAGTTTTGGCAAGAATAACTTATCGAATGTATGAAGCCAAGATGGAGTGGTTCTTTTATGGTCGAGGTCTTATTTCGCTGCATAGAAATTGTCAAATAGTCAAAGAGACAAGCAAAGGTGAATACACCACAATTGTTTATCAGACAATTCGCCAAAGCGTCGAGTTCACTATATCTTTGAAGAGTTGTTGCTTGGTGTCGATCGTCGACGCCGACTAAACATCTGTGAACTATGCTAGTTACTATGGCAGAGGACTTTGGACGAGATAAATTCAACTAAGTCTCCTTAACAACATGAACAGTTTGCGAAAACTAGGTGAACCCACTTTTGTAAAGCGAAAGGAGACTGCGACTATACTGACGAACACACCGTCTTGACCTTCATACACTCTATCGGACACTTTTGACATTTGCAATCTGTACATGAGATTAATTTCAACATGAAAACGCACCATTTGCATTGTGTAGGCTTGTGATGTAGTGAAGCTGGCTGCACCTCAGCACCACGACCCCGAACCGAGATTGAACCTAATAAATGCAGGTTTCAAAACAGTTTTGCCTCATTTCTTTTCATCTCTTCAGGTACTGGCTGAAATGGTATAACAGCCCAGCCAGCATCTTCACAAAAGTGAATTGGCCGACTTTCAATGCAGTCACCGCCCAATCGTGGAGACATAATATCCAAAATGTCATTTCTGTATGCACACAGAACATTGTATGTGTGTGTAGGTGGATGAGCGAGGCAAATCTCGGTCTCCAAAGCAACTCGTCCGAATCACATGCAGTTGTTAAGCGGCCTAGCTCGTGTCATTTCACCTGACCACGCTTTGAGGGCGGCTCAAACCGACAAGCAAGGAGACTGAAAGGAGCGCCACTGTTTGAGCGAGGCAGGAGGTCGAATCGGATCCAGATCACCGTCTGGACCTGACCGATCCCACGGCCACTTTGCTGCCAAGCCGTGCATTAGATCGGCCACACGTCGGCGCGGTTATCTGCGCAGGCGCCGAGGCCGGCCAGACAGAGCCGTTGAGAGTGCGCCGTGACGGAAAGACTGGCCACATTTTCGCAGGCCAGTCAACTTGGCCTCACATAAAAGGGCTGAGCGGTCGGTGGAACCGAAAACCAGCGATCCGGTGCAGATCTCGAAGCGCCGACCTCTCATTCACGCACAAGTGGCCGGGCCCGTCTCTGAAGTTTTGCCTCGCCGTCGCCCTCGCCTTCGCCGTCTCCCTCGCCCTCATTCTCAACTTTAAATTCGCCCTCGCCTTCTTTCTCGACTTTACCTTCGCCTTCGCCTTCGCCCTCGCTTTCACTATCAACTTTACCTTCGCCTTCGCCCTCACCATCGTCCTCGCCCTCGTTTTCTCTTTCGACCTCGCCCTCGCCCTCACCTTCGCCTTTGCCGTCTTCCTCACCCTCATTCTCGAATTTAACTTCGCCCTCGCCTTAGCTCTAGCCGTCTTTCTCGCCCTCAATCTTGAC